AATCTTAAAAAAATAATATTTAATTTATTAATTATTTAATTAAATTTATAAACATAATAATAATACTATAATTGATATCTACCTTTATATTTTTTTATATAAGTTTATAATAAAATAATTTATTTAATTAATTTATATCTTAAAAATACAAATTCAAAAAACTCTTTTACATAATAACCAACACAATAAAAAATAATTATCCATATGTTTCTCACACTTCTCTCATTTGTCTTAAAATTCAAATTCGTTAGTTACAACGTGAAAATTCAATTAATTTTTACCTAATGTGACATCCTATAACATTATGATAGGTTGCCCTGTTAATTTGAGGCACAAATCCAACGCCTAGTTAATTTAAGGCACAAATCCAACAATTGGGGATGCCGTGTGATGGACCGACAACATTATAAGAAAGTGGGGCTTTCGGCTCGTTTCAGTTGGTGTAAAAGCATTCGCCCCTGCAAGTGTCGCCAATGTTAGCATGGATCATATCATGTCATTTGTGGTGAATCCTCGGACTTATTAGGTAAGTGTTATGTTACCAAATGAAACGCACAACTAGGTGGAACCCGCTCAGAGTTGTGCGATTCTTGGCGTCAAACCTTATAATCAAAGTATAGTAAGAAAATTAATTTCAATCTGTGGACTTATCCTGTCTCCTATCTAAACACATTTGAAAGATTTAAGCATACCTCAAGAATTCCTTTCCAAGAAGCATCCGTGCATGACTAGCTGGATGGAGGCAATAGTCACTCTGTTGGTTAATAGTAAGAGGAACTTGACATGGGCAATCTCCACTGATTAACATCTCCATGAACAAGCAGTTTGCATCACTATTTTTCGGAAACAGTAAGCAAAATCCATTGTTCAGAAAAGAGTGCTCCAGCTTTTAAAAATATATTCAAAATTAATGAGACTAAACAAACCTTTCACAGTTGCACCACAAGAAGTGACTTGAGTGTCTAAGAGCAATATACAACCAAGTGTATCGGTTGTTGCAGCCAACAACTCCATCCACACAGAAAAAGAAAATGTGCCACTGAGGGATAAGGTGAGTTTTTCACCCTTTCCAGGGTGATCCTTCAAACATGTCAAAGGTGAAGCTGCAATGACATCAATGACATTCAAGAGGCTTTAGAA